AAAAAGAAGCAATAGAAATAAGAAGAAAATCGGACTGGGCCACCTTTTAAATTAAATCAACCAAGCCCAAACCAAATAACCCCTTATCCAACCCAAAAAACTCCACCGGGTCGACCCGACCCGGTTCGCCCCATAACCCCAAACAAACAACCCCCATTCTTCCATTTTCATTTTTCATTTTTTGAAAAAGGCCTAACCTAAAAAACCTAAAACCACCTGCCCCCTCTCCTCTTCATCTTCCCCAAACCACCCCCTTGCCCCCTCACCTCCATGGCAGCTGCTGCTTCACTCATCTTCGTCCAAACGACCACCCTCCCATGGCTGCCTTCTTCTTCTTCTCTGTCCCCATCGTCCCTACGTCAAGCAGCGCTGCTGCTACTGCTTCACTCATCGTCGTTCATCTTCTCCAACTAACCCCCCTGCTTCTCCAGCTCTAAACGACCTCACATCCATGGCTGTCCTTCTGCATCTTCTTCACCCATCGTCGTCCAAACGTCCACCCTCCATGACCGCCCTCCCGTCTTCATCTTCCCCAAACGACCCCATCTCTTCTTTCTGATATTTTCCTTTAGGGTTTATCCTCTTCTCTCGTCTCTCAATGTAGTAAAATGGCTGCAGAAGTAGAATACAGTTGCTTCGTCTGTGGGCTCGCATGGGCTACCACCGATAGAACCTTAGCTGATGCTTTCGGTACATACGGTGAAGTTCTCGACTCGAAGATCATTAATGACAGAGAAACTGGCAGATCTAGAGGATTTGGCTTTGTTACCTTTAAGGATGAGAAATGCATGAGGGATGCAATCGAAAGGATGAACGGTCAGGAACTTGACGACCGTAACATTACCGTTAACGAAGCTCAGGCTCGTGGAAGTGGAGGCTGCGGTGGTGGTTACGGAGGTGGCCGACGTGAAGGAGGAGGATACTGCAAGTTCTGAAGCAATTGAAGGTAACGAGCTGCGTGTTTTCATGATCGAACATAGTGAGCAGCAGTACAAGTTCATGAATCTGTAGTTCTTCTTGCTTGTTTTAATTATCTTGCCTCGTTCTAGTTCTTGTTTTTGTCTTGGTTATGTTATGTTGTATCTTTTCTTGTCGTTGTTCATCATTTCTTGCATATAAAATCAGTTTGTTATCATCCAGTATATTGACAGTGTTCATTTGTTTCTTGTTTAGGTTTAATCTAGAAGTGTGTTAGTTTAATCACTGAATCTTTATTTTGATGATATTTGATCTGAATTAAGTTTCAAGCTTAAATTATGATTTGAGTTTGATGAATCTTAATGTCATTGATTAGGAGTTAGTTTCATGTGTTTAAATCAGTCAATTGTTAGGATTTCTCAATTAAAATTGGTTATAGCTGCTAAAGTTTGGTTAATTGATTTAGGAGGATTGGATATAGCTGATGGGGTAGAATGGTAATTTCAGTAGTTTCAGGGGTATTTTCGGGATTTTAAGTTTTAAAAAATAATTAATTTGAGTGCTCTGTCCACTAAGTACTAATAATATTAAATTAATACATTGTTTAATACATAATGGGGGACAAGACATATGGTAATGGGAATTAATACATTGTTTAATATAGTGGGGGACAAAGCATGCAGTAGTGGGGAATAAGAGAATTAAATAAAGAAAAGACATGTGGTGGTGGGAATTAATGTATTTGTTTAATATAGTGGGAGACAAAGCATGCAGTAGTGGGGAACAAGACATGCAGGTGTAGGGAGAATATTTTGGATTAGTTTAAGTCTTTCAAGGCAAGAGTTTTGTTATAAATAAAGTCACTTAGGACAGATTTAGGGGGGATTTTGGAGAGAGTTTGGGCGGATTTTTATAGAGAGTTTAGGCGGATTTTTGAGGGGGATTTTTTGAGAGAGGAGAGGGGGGATTTTTGGAGAGAGTCTAGGCCGGATTTTTAACATTTAGAAGTTCAGTAATCTGAGAGTAAAAGGGAGGCTGGTTATTTCTGAGATTTCATTGAGGTTTTAAGTGGATTTTTTGAGTTTGTTATTCCTGGTCTGCATTGATTTGTGTTGATATTATTTCGTTGAGTGTGCTGGAATCGTGTTGGTTTTCAAATCTGTCACTGGGTATTCCGTTCGCTGTTTGTTGCTGGTTATTGTTGCTGTTGCTGTGTTACATACTACTTTGTTGACCTTCCTCTTCTTGTATTGGCAATACCGGGTACACAACTGTAACTTTGGCATTTGTAAGCTGAAAACATGAAGTTTGAATATACGTGAAGAGTTGATTTTCTGCTTTGGTTTCAACATGACTTGTGTATTTAAATTCTTCAGTCGCTGATGATAGGTACATCCCTATTAATATGTAGTAAGTGGACTGAAACGGAGTTGTATGAGAGATTTTTTTTATTAAAACATGTTAGCATCTGGTAACTGAGTCCTATAGTCCCATTTGCATTTGTCTTAGACTAATAACTAATAAGTCACGTCCTTTTTTTTAAGCATGTAATTAATTTGGAGATTTGCTTTTAGAGACAAACTTAATAAAAATGTAGTCACTTTAGGATTGTCCTTTTAAAATAAATGAGATGAGCCTCGCTGGATAAACACATAAATGGCGGGGCCCTCGTTAAATGTATGTATTAATTACTTAGATTCCGGGACGGGCCGTTTAGCAAATTTCACGGCCCTACCCAAAATAATGATACGCTAGTTGCTTTAGGCGCGTATTTAATAATGTTATCTACTTAAACTCGGGTGCACATTTATGTGACCCAAATCCAAATCTCAACGAAGTCGAAATATGTAGCTAATCACGGGTGCATTGATTATGACGTGGTTCGAGATGCATGTCCATGACGTTGCAAATTCCTTTAAAAAATAATGAATGAGACTAGTCTTGACAAACAAGAATACACAAATTGCGGGGCCCTCACCGGATAGTTATTTCGAATGCTTAGATTTCGAGACAGGCCGCATAGCGAACTTTACGGCTTTTCTCAAAATAACAACGCGTTAGTCTTTAGGCGCGTATTTAATAATGTTATTTTCCTAAACTCGGGTGCACATTTATGTGACCCAAACAAAGCGGTAAACAATTAAAATTTGCACGTAGGTTCATAATTGTATAAAATCAGATAATCAGGCCGAATATGACAGTTGAGCGACCGTGCTAGAACCACGAAATTCGGGAATGCCTAACACCTTCTCCCGGGTTAACAGAATTCCTTATCCGGATTTCTGGTGTGCAGACTATTAAACAGAGTCATTCTTTTCCTCGATTCGGGATTCAACCGGTGACTTGGGACACCGCAAATCTCCCAAGTGGCGACACTGAA